CTTCCTTGCAATATCCGAAATTGTCAATTGACGCTGCCTGCAAAAATGGAAAATTAAGATACCAAGCAGGTGACAAAGGAACAATTTTGAATAATTTCGTAAGGAACAAGTTCACTGATTATGCTAGTAGGCGTTTTCAGGAAAAGTTCAACACTAATCTGCAAGGGATAAGATCCCACCCACCCCTTGTGATGATGCTCTTGTAGTAGAGCTTGGAGTTGATGTTCAGCCAAAATTCCAGAGGAACCCATCGAAGAAAGCTTTTCCTTCAAGACAGAGGCTGCAAATCAACTCCGTAGTTAGGCAAATCCGTAACAACTAACAAGGATACAAGAATCCAACAAAATTTAGATTGAACCCACTACCCTTGTTAACATCAGCAATTCAGCATAGCAGTGAATCTCAGGCAACCCTCATATAGCTTCTTATCAAGAAATCACTAGTTCATGGCCAAAACTAAAATTAAGGTTTCAGATTCACCTGACGATCCCCTGGCACTTTGCAGAACAGCAAAGAGTTGTTTTCTTCCTTCCCTGGTGCGAGTGGCTCGATTTTGAATGTTGTCACTGCCTGCCATATTCTGCCAAAGAAAACTCTATGTCAGAGAGAGATCCCATACTTAAACCTCACTAAAGAATGGCAGTAAGAACTTAAATTACTGTTCTTAACTGCAAAAATCAAAGCTGCTAAATTCAGCTTTGGGTGAATTTCTAAAGCTTTGATTCGTGGTAAGGGATAAACTGTTTCCCCGCCCTGTTGAGAGAGAATTCGAGGGATGTCTATCAACTCCATAGCTGCACAAAAACAAGAAAATTTTTTAAACTAAAATGCATAGAACAATATAATCCCATCTTTTTTGGGTCCACCTGAAGAGAAAGTAAGCTCACCGGCAGGTTCAAAAAAATTAGTTTGTGTTGAAGGACGATTGGGATTTATTATTACACGTGTCTTCCACACTTGAAGAGTTCCATCCTTGGAAACAGTGACAAGTAAACGCAACATAGGAAGCCAAGAAACTGATGTGATGGGTTGAGAACCAACTTGAGTGCTGCAATGGTACCAAAAGATAACTATCAGGATTCCAGGAATGATTAATACAAAAGCACAATACAAAATTGAAGCTAGCTGGGGAGAAAAATGCACAGAAAGCAGAATGCAACCAGGATTAACTTACATTCCTATCATATTAGGCCTTTCAGTTGATACATCCCAAGCTAAAAGTGTACCCCGCCTATCTCCAACAAAAATCCATTCCAATGTGGGATGAAAAGCAAATGCACCAGCACCGATGAGTTTAATAGTATTGTCAACTGCAAGAAAAAGAAAATTTTTCCATGAGATATCCCGTAAGTTGCAACCATCCCACATAATATCTTATAAGGTAAAGGAAAAAAGAAAAAGTAACTCGTCCTAAACTCACGTTGTAGTGTATAAAGAACACCGTAAGTATGGATGTTGTAGGCACGAATCAACCCCTCTGCGTATGCGACATACTGGAAAGACAATACATGGGATCAAAGAAATTTAGCAAGTATGTCAAGGGAATATGAGACACTCACAGCACGGACTGAAGATGGAAAATGTGAAATGAGCATGTTGTATACTATACCAGGACAGGGAGACGGGGATGGCAGGCAAGGTTTACAATTGGTTTCTTCAAATCCGTCTTAATCTTTGTTGGAGCTTTTCCCCCTTCAACGGTTCCAACAACTTCACCAAAGAGAAAGAGCATCAGGAGCAATTCAGAAGAGAAACATAGCACCTAGTCATACAAGTTGGGAAACTACACCTAACTGACTAATACAGGAGATATTGGAGACAGAAAAAACCACCTGTCACACTCATTCTTTTCGGGAAACCAAAAAACACGACAGGCTGGAGAGGCGTCAAAGCAAGATGAACTTCCGTCTCTAATGAAATGTGCTCACTCTTCTTCTCTGGTGAGTGCAAGACACAAGTCTGTTCCGTTTCAAAATCGCAAGATCTAATCGTACAATCCTACAAGATCCAGCAAAGAGGCATTCAAAAGTCTGGAAGGGAGAAACATGATGATCCGTAGTTCATATGAGATACAAGATGGAATTAGGGCAAAACAGAAGCAACTTTACTAATATGGAATTCACAGGTAAATTTAAATGGATGTGGAGTGGATGAACCTCGAGAATGGCAATCACAGCATGGCTGCTGGTAGGACTATACGCCATTCTAACGGCTGGAGATCCAATCTCGATAGAAGCAATCTTACACCCCGTTAATGCATCAAATTCTGCAACACAAACAGAAAAATCACTAGATTCAACATCCAATCACTAATTCTCCACCATAACCAGCACAGCGCGACCAAGAATATCGACACCACACACGAAAATCACCAAAAACAAAAGAGAAACACAATTGCGGAAATGAGAATCACGAGAAATGTCAAATTACCCATGATGTAGGAGCCGACAGCGACGGCGATGATGGCCTGAGAGGGATGAAACGCGGCGGCATGAGGCTGCAGCGGCTTGCTGACGCCGCGACCCACGTGTCGCAGATCCAGATGCTGCACCGTCGCCCACTCCATTGCTGCTCTTCTTTCCTGAACTCATCAAACGAACCCCGAACCATACAATTCAGTTACCGCAACGAAACCATACGAGAACGGATGTGGAAGAACACTCGATGTCACAATATGATCCAGATCAAGCAGAAGGACACAACATCGATCTGATCTGGACGGATAACGACGAATTCATAAAGGAATTCGCACTGCTCATCTAATTTACCTCGAAGATTCGTGTTGAATCAAGAGTTCATTTGCTTATCCGAACCAAACGCAGAGCAAAATGACCGTAGCAAAATGACCGATGCCAGAAAAGAGAGTGAGATCAATGGAGGAAACCAAATCGGAGGGGAAAGGAAGGGGAAGAACATGAAACGAGACGTAAGAAATTGGGTGGATTGGGCTGTCCGGGTCCGGTCTAACCCGATAAAGTACAATGGCCCATTAGCCCAATTTTGAAGTTCAATATTCGGGCCTGTTTGTGTAACAATGGTTTGTGGTTTTACACGTGTGACTATACGAATGACTTGTGGCAAATTATGAAATGAATTTATACATTTAATAATGTCAAATTTAATTAATTTATCCATAGAAAGATGAAGTAGGACACACCAATTAGTTTTCCTCAAATTAAAAACCGAACACTATGGGATAGATTTTTTTTCCCCCCAAGAAATAATATGTTTTGGTTCTACCAGCGGACATCATTGAACTTGACTTTATTGGGGGAATTTCTGGTTTTATTCAAATGCATATGGTTGAAAATATATTTTTCAGATAATAGTAAAAAACCCATTATTTTAATCAATTTAGATGATTAATATCTAACGTTTGATTTTAGTAAAAATTATGGAAATTATATTTTAAAAAAAAGTTAATGTCTAAATTTTATTTTATGGGTGAAGAAGATATATAGTGTTATCTCAACCAAAATAATTTAGATGCTTTGTTTATTTTAAATAAGAAAAGGGTGGTGGGATAAACATATACGTGTAAAAAAGGTTAAAATCCCATCTGGATGACCGGTTATTAGGGTGTAAAATGGGCGGGATGGGTCGGATTCAATTCGGGTCTATAATTTTTCGGGTTAGACTGGTCTGTCTATTTATTTTTCGAGTCTAGGATCGATGATCCGGAGTACTGCTCTATAGGACTTCGAACGGGTTCAGACCGGGCTTTGATTTTTTATCAAATAAAAATATTTTTTCTACGATGATGATAATAATAATAATAATAATATGAAACATTAAAAAAAGATATAGTATAAAAATATATTATATGATGTAATTTATTTAAAACCTGTAAAAAAAGAATCAATATGTTCATATGCAAACAAAGGTTTAAAAATATATATAATTGAAAGTTTCGACACTTTTAAAAATATAAATTGATATATATATATATATGTGTGATATATATATAGTTAAAAAATAAAAGCTTCTATCACTTTAAAAAGTGTTAATTGGAACCTAGATAAAACTTCATCATTTGGTTCAAAGACACTCATACATATAATGATATACATATATATATATATATATATATATATATATATATATAAATATAACACATATGTTTATGTGCATCGAAAAATAAAATACAACCCACTAATACGAAACAAAACTAATTTAGAGTGAGATAAAAAATATAAAACAAAAAAACATAATCAAATAGCAAGTATTAGGTTTAATTTAGTAAAAAAAATAATACAAAAAAGATTATCTAATATATGATGCAATATGATTAAAAAAAAGTTAGAGTAATCATAGAGAGATATAGCTTTGGTTTAGAAAAAAGATTAGAAAAAAATTAGTAGGCCTCAAGCACGGCCCGAGACCCGACTGGCCCGGTTCGACTGGCCCGCAATCCATTTAGCTCGAGGTCTGAAAGTTCGAAATTTAATGAGCCTATATTTTCTAGATCCATATCCTTATTATTTTTGGGTGGGTTCGGACCGGGTTTTGGACTCCGTACTTAATTGGCATCCCTACTGGTTATTAATCATATAGCCTAATCAAATCGAATACGAATACAACTTAAAAATCAAACATTTTTCTAAATCCGAAAAAATGGAAAAATTAAATAACAAAATAATCAAACATTTTTTTTGAAAAACTGTATTTTACTAATAAAAACCCGAATCAAACCAAAATAAAATTGAAGCAAATCGAATCGAACCAAAATTGATAGTTTTTAAAATAACCTAAAATTTTGAAATAATCATCCTACATATTTCGAGATTCTCATTTAACCTGAGACCCCTGAAAGAGAAGCAACGGAAGTTGGTTGAAGTAATTTGATTAAATTTGGAATTAAATCTACATCGATACTAACAGTAACAGATCCTGAACCAAATGTACATTAGAAGCTGACCACAAACTTCGTGGGATTTTAAAAATATATATACACACAAACCTCAGAAAGAAAACAGAGTAAACCAAAAACAGAAGCTTCTGCTCATTCAACATCGGATTAAAGAGATTACACTTCCGCCCCACCAAAAAAAAAGAAAAAAGTTTTCAAAAACAAAAGCACACATCCACACACACATGCTGCTATATGCAAAGATACGAACATATCTGTGTGCATGCGTGTGTGTGTATGTATATACGTAGAGCAGTGTCAGCAGCAGCTTCTGGAAAGTCCCCAAGGATATGAAGCAGCAGAAACAGGAAGAGGACCTACACGTTATCAGAAGACTTGCACATTCGTCTTCTGTTAGGTCGGTGGGGAAAGGCGGAAGAGGAGGCGGTGCTTGCAGAGGGGACCAAGCGCGGAGGAGAAGGGCTCGGAATTGCCTCCAGCGTGGACCGTGGAGACAGACGTGATGTAGTCGATGCTGTTAGATTGGGCGGCGGCTCCTTGCTGTGATACCGTTGTTGTCCGTTCTCACTGTTGACAAAAATGAAGAACGTGGGAAAAGACCAGAGAGAAAACACACAGCTGGGTTTGATTTCAAAGAATGTCTTTTTTTTTTTTTTTTTTTTTTTACCTGTCTGAGGGTGTTGTGGCCTTTTTATTCTTGTTTCTGAAGCTGGGAAAAGCTGGAGCCTGATCTAGCCTGAAGTCTGCCTTCCTACCGGTATGTTCCTGTCAGAAGCAATTGGTTATATTATATCTATCACCCCGTCAATGGCTTTCTTTAAAAAGATTTCAAAGCACCAGACTCTAACCGTTAGTTTCATGCCATTGAACAATTGGGAGCAAGTGGAAACGTCGGTAGGTGGAGAGGGTGAGGTTGGCAACTGAGAGTTCTTTAGAAACCGGTGTTCAAGCAACTTAGCTGCAGTCGGCCGTTCAGCTGGGTTTCTCCTAAAGCAAAATCTTAGGAAATCTTTCCCCTCAGCTGACATTGATTCGGGTATCGGTGGGCTATCCTTCATCACCTTGAACATGGCTGCCGCCTGATATATATATTCAAAAGTTGAAGTAAAAGTTAAGCAAAGGTTCAATTTTAAGCTCAAAGAAAGGACGTCTGTTTCTGTGTCTGCTTTTTTACCCCTTCGTACTCACTCCACGGAGGCTTCCCCGTGAACATTTCTATAATTGTACACCCTAAACTCCATATGTCAATAGCAAATGCCAGATCCGAGTTATTATCTTTTTGCATCACAGCTTGCATTAGCTGAAAAGAAAAAGAAGTGATCGGTATAAAGTTAAGGGTTTTGAGCTTAGAAGAAGAGTCTCACATCTCATAGAAGAGAATTACTTACCTCTGGTGCCATCCAGTACGGGCTTCCCTTCAAAGACAGATCAGCTCTTTGCCCTGTAAGCTGAAAAAAAAAATAAAGAACACAACCATATTTTACCAACCCAAACGGAAAATGTTGATGCTTTTAGATCCTCCAGAACATTGTCAATATATACAGAACGCGTGTTAAGAATACATGGCAGGAGAAACTAAAACTTACATGTTTAGCCATGCCAAAGTCAGCAAGCTTAACGACACCAGAAGCGTCAACCAGGAGATTAGCACCCTTGATGTCCCTAATAAACATAAAAGTTCAAGTATGCTAAGCCTCAAAACACGAAAGAAAACTCAAAGATTCGATAGCACCAAGTTGTGAGTTTACCTGTGGACTGTCTTTTTGCTGTGCAAGTAAGCCAGCCCAGACAAAATGTGACGTGTAAAGTTCCGAACAACAGATTCCGTCATGGCACCACAATGGTCACGGATATATTTGTTAATTGAACCCGGGTGAACATATTCCAGGTAGATAAAGAAACGATCTTCCACCTGCATAATCACAAAAATTAGTCAATAATTCAATGAATTTCAGGCAAGATAATGATATATATATATATACTCATGCTAACAAATGGAAGTTGTACTCACTATTTCACTACCATAATACTGCACAATGTTTTGATGCTGAAGGTTACTGAGCAGTTTGATTTCCTGAATCCAAGACAAAATTTTGAGGTGGTCAGTTTGACAGGAAAAAACAGCCAAAGAGAGGCAAGAACATTATTCCTATCTACAGGAGTCAGTCAAACGCTCTAAATTCTGGTGCTAGTTATTACCTGCTCTAATTGCTTTATGCACTCTGCAGACTTTGGGTCATCCGGAAATATTTCAACTTCCTTCATTGCACACAATGCTCCAGTCTCTCTGAACAAGGAAAGAATGAAAAGAATAACTCAGCATGAACAAAAACAAAAGCAGATCGCGACTTAGCTAAACGGTAAAGTAGGACTAAAGAATTCACCACCAGTACCTGTTGCTGGCAACATAAACACTTCCAAATGTTCCACGCCCTATGAGCTTCCCCTTAATCCATTGACAATTCATGGGGCTGGAGTCCTGATTGAGAGGAACATGGGAGATGGGAGCAGAAGCTGAAGAGGACCCAGCAGCTCCAGGAGGGAGAGGCAGTGGGTGAACATTGGAATTCTCACGCCTTGGAGTTGTAACATCAACAGACAGTCTTGGATGCAATGGTGACGAGATACCATCTCGCGGGGTAGCTGAATGCTCAGGGGATAGCATGGGATGCAATGGGGAGGACGGCCCACCAGGGCTTCTGGCCTGTCGGCGTGGACTGTTGGGTTGGGGACTATGAATTGGAGAGTTGTCGGTACTGAATGGGTCATAAAATGCTGGAGGAGGAAGCCCTGAGACATCAAATGGCATCTCTGGCGCTGACCAGACCTGATTGCTTCTCGGGGCCATGTTAAACAATGGTAACACATCGCCAGAACTCATCCTATGCGGACTGAGGATAGGGCTCGCATATGGACTCGTAGGGGCACTCATAGTTGGAATGTTCACCCAATACCCATTTCTCCGGCTACTACTCGAATCTTGATTCACTGCTGCGTACGAATTTTCCGTGGTCTTCCTCCAGTCAGGGACAGAAGCATTGACACTAAGAACACATAAAGGGAATATGCTTAGTTTGGAGGTAACTTAAACACGACTAGATCTGACAATGTTACTACAAAAAAGGAAGTTGGTTCTCTAGGGGCAGAAAACAGAAAACGTGATTAAATCACACAATCTTCACATATCCATAACGCGAATCCCGACAGCACATTTACAAATACGGAGAAATGGAATGGCTATTTGGTATCCACACTCTTAGACTATCACATGAAAAAGGTAATAATGCTGCCTATGATTCCCTTTACCCTAAACTAAACCATAATTGCCATATTTTGACACACACAAAAAGCTAGGATCACTTGAACCCCTTTTCTTTCTTTCCGAATTCGAATCAAATCTCAGCAGAAAAATGCAAGAAATTACCTGCTCAAAGGAGGACTGCAGGACAAACGATCTACAGCAGCATCAGCTCTATTTCTATCCCTAACCCTATCCCTATCTCCATCTCTGAGTTTATCCTCCACTCCTTTGCCGTCCCCTAAATTTCTCCATGTCTGCCTCCTTCCATCTCCATCGCCTTCCGGCAACGGCAAAGGCAATGGCAACGGCACGGCAGAGGAAGACCGCGGGATCACCGCGTGGGTGCTGGGCGAGCGAGTCAACCCAGGCTCGGCCGCAGACGAAGGAGATGAAGACGACCGGCCTCTCCAGACGTCGAGATCCGTCAAGTGCCGGAGCTTCTTCTGGCGCGTGAGCTTCGGGCCGTGAAACCGGAGACCGCGACGACGATAACGGTCCCGATCGCGATCGGGAGATTCAGAGTACGACGACGCCGGTTTTAGAGACGAGGACGAAGACGAAGGCGAAGAAGACGGAGACGACGAGAACGAGATGTGCTGAAGCCAACGCATAGCGAGAAATCATTGGTACGCCGAAACACGATCCGATTCCGCACACGAAATTCCGCTCTATCTCTCCCCTCCGTGACCGGGAAGAAGAAGATCGACGAAGGAAGAGAAGACGGTGATGAATGAATCCACCGAAGAACCTAACCGATTTAACAGAAAAACAAATGGGAAAAAAATCCAGAAAGTATTGACGAAGAAGAACGAATATTAGGGCCAGTTTTTTTCCATGAAAAAATAAAACTTATTTTTTCAGTTTTTTTTTAAATAATTAAATCGAGAAGGCCAAACTGAGAGGCCGTTGTTGGGTTATGTATCCGCGACGGTTTACAACAACGGCCTCCTCCTCCTCCTCTTCTCCTTCGTCGCGATTGGGACAAATGATTAATAATTAACTAATTTACTTTTTATCATTAAAATTATTAGGGTTTTTTTTTTGGCTAATTTCGATTGCAGACACCAACAACAAAAAAGTGTACGAAAGATGAACATATGACGCTGACGCTGTCGCCGACACCTTTTTTCCGTCAGGGGCCAATCTACCCACCTGTTTGGCCTGTTATTACCGATTTACCAACACATACATCACCATTGGTGGATTTAAACAATGATTTTCTTATGACTACAAAGAAATAACAAATTAACAATACATAAATACTTACGGTTAATAAAATTCAATTGGCAAAGCGGACGATGTAGAATGTATAAATGCTTTATAAAATGCTAAAAATATCAAGCTTGTAGTTTACCGTATAGATTGTTCGAAGTAGAAAGAATAGTAAACCCAAATTAAAATACTTTTCTTAAAATTTTGACCAGAGGAAATCCAAAATATATATATATATATAAACCCCAAATGCGAAACTGTGTTCAGACATTCAAGGACCCAAAAGTCTGAAAACCGTACATCACGAAATACGAGGTATTGACCAAATTAAACCAAACCTTAGTTTAAATAATAAATTATTTGACATTAAACCTTAGTTCACATACATTCGAGTGCATATTAAACATTGATAATCTACGGCTCAATTCAAGCTTAAGTTGGAATCAGTGGCGTAATAAATCAACGGTCAAGGCACCCAGGAACTCGTGGTCCTCTGGACAAAGACGTGACACGTGGCAAATGGGTTCCACTCTTCTGGGGCCAAGTCAGTCTCCATAAATATCCCACCAAGTTGGCGTATCTTTCACGGTCCATCCCAAGACGATATCGTGTTGACTAATCATTCTATTTCAACCAATGCACTCTAATTTTTTTTGATAATTCAAAAATTTATTATTTTTGGTTCAATTACATCTTTAAAGAATGAAGATGTCTTCCCAAATCGGGATTTGAACATGAGTTAAAAATAAAATTTTATTCTTTTTTTAATCAATTTGGTTATCAAATGTTGGATATCTAATCTTGATTATGGTCATTTAGATTAACACTAAAGATAACCAAATTATAGATAGCAGCTCATCTTTTAGATAATTTTATTGGTATATTCAATATATTAGCCCCATGGTTTATACAATAATCGCTACGATATCGTCTATATCTATATGATTTGGAGATCAATGGTTTAGTGGAGGAGAAGGATAGACGGAAATGGTGATGCCGTACGCTAGGGTTTTTTTTGGGTGAAAACCTGACGTTTCGGAGGGGTTTTGAGTTTTGGGCTTTTTTGAAAGACGAGAGAATTTCTTACTGGACTTTCTAATGGGCCCATGTGATGAATGAGAGGGCTTCAGATTTTGGAATTTCCCGTCTTTTAGCTTCCTTATTTGCAATAAATATATACATATATTTTAATATTTGTATTTGGTTTTACAAACTTATAAAAAAAAGTTATGTATATATTTGTGGTACCGCTGTATAGAATACCGTGTATGTACGGACGAGCATGTACACATGAGCAGCAGTTAGAATTTGGCGTAACATATGTAGTAAGTTCACTTAATCTTAATGATATTAAAATAAACCGTACATTATGAAAATGAATATATATGGATGGGATTTGAACAAATGGGTTGTGGGTTTTATGCGAAGGGTTGATAAATCGATAAAATATAATGCTGTGTAATTGAGAATTGCGACCGTCCATGCACGTGACGTGAGGCTGAACATAGTGACAAAGTCAACCCACATACCCGAATTCTTTTATTGTTTTTATTCTTCGAACTAAAGCGGGGGTAAATCGGTTTTTCCTCAAAGAATCTCTATTTCCTTTGTCATTTGCGTATAAAAATATTACGAAGATATTTAACGTTTCCTCATTTGTTATAATTTAATCCAAACCCAATAAAAAAAAAAATAACAAGTGTTCACACAACGCCCACATATACATACACGTCTAAATATATGTGTGTGTGTGTGTGTGACAGAGGAGCCATGTGAATAATGTAAATATGACGACCACGAATGAGTATGGATGGGAATTAATAAGTTGGCTTTTTCCGGATTGTCTCCCTGTGTGGGTCCCACTTAACCAAGCTTCTGTTCTGTCTCGTTCGACTCGCTTGCTGCTCACGTCACCATGTCTTCCCGATTTCCGTCCCATCAAAGCAAATGAGATTATCGCAATTTTCCACTTTTACCCCCACACCTCCTCGCTAATTACACTACTTGCCCTAAAGACAGTTGTCTCGCCTCAAGCCTCGAGGATTGGTTAATCGTCTTTTGATCAATATATATATATA